GTCAAATCCATTTACGAGCCAGTTGTGATGGAACTCGATGAAACCAAAAGCGACGACAAACCAGCCAGTGCTGTCAATGATGACATCGAATGGGGGTCAAGATGATCCAAGCGCCGGCGCTGTGGGCCAATGACATCAAGGGCGAAGGCATTGTCGTGGCCAACATCGACTCCGGTGTTCACTATTCACACGAGTCGTTGGAGTCGAACTGGCGAAGTGAATACGGTTGATTCGACCCACACAACAAGACGAAACTGCCCAGTGACGCGGCAGGCCACGGCACTCACGTCATAGGCACTATGATGGGAACGCAAGGTATTGGTGTCGCCCCCAAGGCCAAGTGAATTGCGTGCAAAGGGTGCAAGGGCACGTGCAATCACGTATGGTCGTCGAATGCGCTCAATTGCTTCTTTGTCCCCACGACAAAAAAAACTGCGACTCCAGCAAGGCCCCTCATGTGATCAACGGCAGCTTTGGCAAGCACCGCAGGGACTTTTGGTTGGAAGATATCATTACAATGTGGAGAGAAGCGGGAATCATTCCCGTGTTTGCGAATGGCAACAACGGCCGTGAAGGCTGTGCGTATTCAAGTTATCCTGCTGCGTCCCCTCAAGTGATTGCTGTCGGCTCCACTAACTCCAGCGATTTTTTGGAGATCGATTCAAGTTTGGGACCTTCCGTGAGGAAGCGCAGCAAACCCGACATTTCTGCTCCTGGTGTCCGAATCCGTTCCGCAGCAAGCTTCTGTGACGATGTTTTTTTGCCGAGATCTGGCTCTAGCTACGCCGCGCCTCATGTTGCTGGAGCCATCGCCTTGTACTTGTCTGCCAACAAAGGCGCCTCGTACTACCAAGTGAACAACGCCCTGACCGAGAATGTGGACACGGACACGTTAACTCCGCCCAACAAGACCTGCGGTGGCATTCCCAACACGAAATATCCCAACAACCTCTTTGGCTACGGCCGCTTGAACATCTTCAAGGCCATGGCTCCTGGCATCCCCGGCTTGACTCTTCCCCCGCCAACTAACTCCACCCAAGCCCTCAACCCGACCATTGAGCTAACCACCTGTGGCATCTTGGACGACAACACGCACTATGTTGGCGGCGACTTCGCTTCGACCAATCAGGTGACTGCTGAATCCTGCTGCGCTGAATGTAAAAAGACACCGGGATGCAAACTGTTTGTGTGGTATACCCTCGAGGGTGGCATGTGCCGGCTCAAAGGCACCCAAGGCCAAAAGGTGGCTGTGGAAGGAGCCAAGGCTGGCAGTGCTACCAGCCCCAGCCTTGGCACGACCGCCGTAGTTTTAGACCAGCTATTTCCATCGTCAACAAACTCACCCACAATAGTTTGACATTAAACGCGCTCAACTTGAGATCATTTGAATTGTATCAAAATGGCGTCCGGATACCATTTTGATCGCAAATTTCTGCGATACTTATTTGGCCTGAAAAACGGAATAAATAATACTTCATGAAGTAATATGCTACTCCAACTACACCATTTTTCGATTAAGTTCAGGTTATTTTCGGTATATTTCGTCCGACGCGCAACTGATTCACGCCATGTGCGTCATGTTCGTTGAACATTCGATATATTTCGTCCAGACCCTACATGGTTCCAGTATATTTCGACTAATGTCCGGTATATGTCATCCCCCAGGCGCTATATTTTACATATTGTTCAATATATTTAAAATCATGTTCCACCTATTTCGATAAAAATCGACGGAACGAAGTAGCCAATGAAATTTTCGAAAAAAAACTATCGATAAATCAAATTTCAGGCGTATCCGGTGGATTGCCAAGCTTCTCCATTTCACAAAGAGTTGAAGATTGTATCGGACAGACAGTGAGTATATTTAGTTCAAGTAAAATGACACTCGACGACTTCAGGTGGATTTGACGTCGTTCGTCGAATCTACCGAAAATACCAAATTTAGCTCGAAAGCACAATATCTATGATTTAGACAAGTATCCATCACCTGCGATTTACTTGCTTGCTTCGAAAATCGAAATAGGTGGAACATCATTTGAAATATATTGAACAACATGTGAAATATACCGGTTGTGGGGTGACATATAGTGGACATTAGTCGAAATATAATGCAACGACGTAGGGTCTGGACGAAATATATCGAATGTTCGGCGAACATAACGCACAAGGCGTGAATCAGTTGTACGTCGGACGAAATATACCGGAAATAGCCTGAGCTTAAACGAAAAATGGTGTAGTATATTTTGCGGGATATCGCAGAATCAAACAGCCCTTACTTTATTTCAGCTGCTAACTAATCGAGTTACAGCACCAAGCCAACTTTCGCAGCGCAACCACCAGTTCATCACGATGCATAACGTTACCGTATTAGGATGTGAAACCTTGCTTTACACGTACAGTACTAACGTTAGTACAGATCAAGTGTTCTATGACATAGCTTTGAATTATTGGACAGAGTGACCGAATAGCCTAACTATACCCTTAACGTCATAAATTATCCGGAGTAGTTAATGTTTGTAGTGATCACGGATGGGAGGGAAGTCATGATGTGGCCATAGCTGCAACAGTTTCATTGTGGCAAGCACCTTAACGTTTTGACGTAAAACAAGTTGATTGCCAGAATGAAAACGGCAAGCAACTTGTTTTACGAAAGTGCCTGTAAAACCA